AAAGTAGTTCAGCATAAAACTGAGCTGTAAGACTGTGAAAACATAATAAAACACAAAACAAATTTCAGCAAGTTAATAAACTGTTCTAAATTATTCTAATTTTATCCTAACTTCATAACCTCCCTTTCATTTTGCGGAACATAACAGCTCTATAACACATAAATGAATATGAAGTAAAAAAAGCATATAATTCAACAATTTTCTGCTAAATCCAAAATGTTTCACGCATGGCAAAAGGGCCTGCATTTCAGCACTGAGGGCTGCTCAGTGAGCTGCACACCGCGAAGCAGTACATAACAACACAAATGATTTTCTTTGTAAAACTTTTCCCCATTTATTTGTGTGTGGGTGTAGGGCACATGTGGAGGTCAGAGGACAGCTTCCAAGAGTCAGTCCTCTCCTTCCACCATGTGGGTCCTGGGGATAGAACTCAGGCCATCAGGCTTAGCAATAAGACCTTTACCTGCTGAGCCATCTTGCCAGCCTAAGAATCAACATTTTTACTACTGAAAGTTTTTACTGTCACTAGCATTTTCTCCCTTCCATTATACCCTCTATGATAGTAACATAGCAGCTCCATAACAACACAGAAATTTCTGTGAAAATGGAAATGTTCTTTATCAGTGCTATCCAACTGTTAACTGAGAAACTACAGTATTATTTCACTTGAATTTAAACAGTGCTAGATGACACAGCTCCTCAATACTGCCCTTTTAGGCAGTCATGCTGAACAGTCACTACTTGTATATTTCCAGTCTCTTTTCAGAGTTCTGCTTTGTTTTTGGTGACAGGGTCTTGCTATGTAGCCCAGGCTGGCCTCCAACTCATGGTGATCCTTCTGCCAGTTTCCCAAGTGCTGGCATTACAGATGTCTACTACTATGCCCAGCTCCTGTTGTAAGACCAAATAGTGCAGTAGTGGTATCACTTTATCAATTTTGCAGAAAGTATCATGTTCCTGAAGTTTAAAGAAAAAATTTAATCCTTAAATACTTAATCTTTCTTCTTTACCATAAGCAAATATATCTTTCTTGTAGATCCTAACATTTCTAATGGGAAATAATTTTTCCTACAATTTATAAGTTCTCATAAAAGAAAATTCTCTAGGGGCTGGAGAGATGGCTCAGCACTCAAGAGTGCTTGCTGCTTCTCCAGTGGACCCAAGTTTAGTTCCTAGTACCCACATCAGGCAGCTCAAAATCACCTATAACTCCAGCTCTGAGGGATCCAACACCTTCTTCAGGCCTTGACAGGGACCCACACACATGTTCACATATACATAAATAAAAAATTTTTTTAAATATAAAAAAAACAATTATCTACTTCCAGTAGGGGGAAAAAAAAGCATTCTCTCTAAATCCACTGACACAAAATTTCTGCACCTCATTTCAGGCTGAGGTTTAATCCTCAGCTGTCTTCATTGTTTTGTACAAGGAGGGGGAACTTCAGCTTCATGTCCTCCACTGACCTACCCTGTGGCCTGGAGGGTTGGCTAAAAGAAAAAATTTACTTGGTCAGTCCAAGTCCTCAGGGTGGCAGTGGAGGTGATAGGAGGCAAGAGGCTAGGTAGCCCAAAGGAACGGTTTGTGGTAAATGACAAGTTTACCTGGAACTTGAATCCTGGGTTTAGGAAGCCACATGGAGATGGGAGGGTGGGGAGGACCCTGTTCAGCTGCTACGCTGCTGGACTCTCATTCCCCACCGAGTCTTTCTGCACCTCGGTCTAGCATAAGCACCAACCCTTCAAGCCCAATAATAAAGGAAAAAATTAAGCCAGAAAGGGTATCTAAGATTTGTAATTTCAGCACTTGGGAAGCTAAGGCCTGAGGATCAAGAGTTTGAGGACAGCCTGGGCTACAGAATGAGTTCAAGGCCAGCCTGGGCTACAGAGTGATCCCTTCCTTAAAAAAAAGTGTGTGGGGGGGGAAATTATGTATACAGCTAGTTGGCAAAAAAATGCAATAGTACAAAAGGTGTAATGAAGCAATTAATTGGGCTGGGGAGTTAGCTAAGTACCAGACTACTTAACCTAACAGGAATGAGGCTCTGAATTCAATCTCCAGTATCACCTTCCCTCATCCCCCTGCAAAAAATCGATCTCCCTCATCACAGGTGCTCGTCTTGAACACCAAGGGCAAATGTTCTGGTTCTGTGTAGCCTTTGCTACAGTAAATGTTTATGAGTCCTTCCATTCTCCCCTTAAATATTTTAGATTCAATGCAAACTTAAAACAAGCGGGGGGGGGAGGGAGAGAGGGGGAGAGGGGGAGAGAGGGGGAGAGAGAGGGAGAGAGAGGGAGAGAGAGAGAGAGTGAGTGTTGAGACAGGTTCTCCCGGTAGCCCCAGCTGGCCTGGAAGTTACTATGCAAATCAGGCCGGCCTCAATCTCACAAAGGCTGTTTGCCTTTGCCTCTAGAGTGCTGGGATTAAAGGTGTGCACTATCATGTCTGGCAAAACAAACACATTTTTACTAGACACTAATTCATTTCACAAATAATCACCCATCTTCAATTAAAAAATTATATAATTATTTAGCATGTAATGTTGTATTTTCTAACTGCTCTTTAAATTTTTATGTGTATGTTCTGCCTGCATGCAATGCCCACAGAAACCAGAAGAGGGTGCCAGATCCCCTGGAGCTGGAGCTAAGGACAGTTGTTAGCTATCATATGGGCGCTGGGAACAGAACCTAAGTTCTCTGCAAGAGCAGCCAGTGCTCTTACCCATTGAGTCATTTCTCTAGGTCTGTAATATATTCTTGACTGTAGACTCAGTAAGCAACACTGAGTAAGAACCACATCACCATGTTATATAAAATAAAGCAGACCAGAAGAGACTTCTTCAGAAGATCTGCATTCTAGGCCTGCTATGCTCTACTATAGCTAGGTTACTTCTCTTTCCAAATCTGTAAAATATAAGTAATAACTGACCTTTACTTTTTTTTACTGGGTTAAAAGAACTTAATTAGCCAGGAATGGTAGTGCAAACTTTCTGTCATGCAAATTATATGCTATATTACAGTCACAAAATTATTT